GGTGGTGGTGTGTGTGGTTGTGCCTGGGGTAGAGCACAGGTTAGGAGTGGGAGGAAGAGGAGGAGTAGGAGTAGCAGTATCACAGCACAGGACGCTGATCTCGTAGTTGAGACAGAAGGGCATGGGGATGGGCCCACCTATTTTCTGATCTGAGTTTTTGCACACCAGCCCAACAGACTTGTCACAAATCACCTTCTGTCCAAGCTGATCAATTGGGATGTTGGGATACATCACAGCTCTGCAGGAGATGTTAAGTACCTTCTCTGGTGCACAGAGATTTTCGATCCTTTCTACCTCTTCACCTGTTGGAGTAAAGGGGGCTTTTCCAGTATCCTTCCAAGGAGTCCACTGGCAGCCATCATCATCATCACCAGCAGTAGTACCAGCAGTAGTAACAACGCATGTAGTGGGTATTGGCGTAGTGGTGGATGCGGTAGTCGAGGTTGTTGAAGTGGTAGGCAAGGAGGTTGGAGATGTGGTAGCCGAGGTACTTGGTGAAGTAGTTGGTGAAGTTGTTGGTGAACTGGTTGGTGAAGTGGTAGGTGATGTCGTTGGTGGAGTGGTAGGTGACGTCGTTGATGGAGTGGTGGGTGACGTTGTTGGTGGAGTGGTAGGTGACGTCGTTGATGGAGTGGTTGGTGACGTCGTTGATGGAGTGGTGGGTGAGGTTGTTGATGGAGTGGTGGGTGAGGTCCTTGGTGAAGTGGTAGGTGACGTTGATACAGTGGTACTTGTGGATGGTGTTGATGAGGGACACGGTGGGTCCATTGGCATGCAACAATTGACTCGAATCTCATAGTCATAACAAAGTTCAAATGGTCCGTTTCCAAACTGGTCTTCGTTATTGCAAATCAATCCATCTATGACATTACACTGCACCTTCTGGCGCAGATCCTCCAAGCTGAGATGGGGATCTGCGGCTGACCTACATTCAATGTCTTCAGGAGCACTGCAGACACTATCAAAGGTCTCTCGATCACCGCCATCACTGCCACTGCCAGGGTGGTCCTGGTTGATCCAGTCAGACCAGAAGCAGCACACATCTAGGAAGCCAAATTACATACTGGTCATTCACGCTTGGGGAGACACCTTGAGGGAGGCTGGGGTGATTCAGAGTCCTCAGTGACCTATGTGGCCATCCCCCCATATAGCTGCCAGCCCTCCCCATCGTCAAAGGACCATTTGTAGAGTGAAGAGTCCAGAATGGACCTACTTCCTCCTTTCCTGCTGCAGCTGAAAGACTGAGGCCCAGAGGGAAAGGGCCACCCGAGGCCCCTCTCCGGATGGAACGCACCCTGATCTTGGAGCCCCAGACCAGCACTCCATCCTCAGCAAACTTTGAATCTTTGTGGGAAAAAAGTGACGAGAGCTACCCGTGTCCATGAGGAAGAGCGTGTCAGCAGCTTAGGCTCTCCTCCTGACCAATAACACGGCCATGCTCACAGGTCAGGTCCCACCTCTGTGTCTGTGGACTCGGCAAACAGTGAATAAATGCATCCACAAGTAGACGGGCCCAGCCTGTCCTCACATCTGCTTCTGGGGGAAGCCCAGGGGAGACTGAGTTTCCTCTTCTTGACCCTACGTAAGGCAACGCGTTGCCAGCATCACTTACGAGGAGTTGTTGGTGGAGCTGCAATAAAGGAAGGTGGGGAAAAGTTTATTATTACTTCGTTCAAGACTTTTGCATTTTTTCTCCTGGGATTAAAGGTATGTGCCACGATGTCTGCCCTCCCCCGAATCTTTTTAAGGCGTGATCTTTCTATGTAGCCCTAGCTAATCTGGAACTCTCTATGTTAACCAGGCTGATATCAAACTTTTGGCAATCCTCCTGTCTCTGCCTCCCAAGTGCTGGGCTGTAAGGGTGAGTCACCATGCTCAGCTTTCAGTGTGTGTGTGTGTGTGTGTGTGTGTGTGTGTGTGTGTGTGTGTGTACACAGGTGCATGGGTGTATGCAAATGTGTGTCTACATGTGTGGGGGTACCTGTGGAGAACAGAGAGCAACCTCCAGTGTCATCCTTAAAGAATGTCATCCATCAGTTGTGGTGGTGCATACCTTTAGTTCCAGAACTCAGAAGGCAAAGGCAGGTGGATCTTTATGAGATCAAGGCCAGCCTGGTCTACACAGTGAGTTCCAGGAGAGCTGGGGCTATAGGGGAGACTCTTTCTAACTGCTTCCACCCCCACAAAAAAAGAATGCCATCCACCTCCTTTCAGACAAGGTAACTTATTGGC